GCCTACGCCGCCGAGCGGAGCCCTGGCCCTGGGGACACCGCCCCGCGGAGCCCGCTGAGTGACGCCCGTCTCTGCCTTGCAGGAATGAATTCAAGTATTTCCAGAGGATGACCACAACCCCCTCTGTGGAAGGTAACGCGGGTTCTTACGGGGTGGAGGGAAGTCTGTTTTCCAGTGACGAGTCTCATGGAAAGTCTCCCGCGCTGCGCTGGGACCTTTTCTCTTACCGCAATCTGGATGCAGTTCCCAAGGTTCATCAAGAATTCTCCTTGGTTGACTCTTTTAGAAATGTTATGCCAGCGCACGTGTACAAGCCGGACGTTGGACACGGTTGGCAGCCAGGAAGAAGGCTGGGTGCAGAGAGGGTGGCGCTTGGAAAGGAGCCCAGAAGAGGGCTTAGGTTTTGGTTTTTGGATTTTGGGGTTTCTTGAGAACAGGGTCTCACTATGAAGCCCAGGCTGGCCTCAGACTTGCTGTCGATCTTCTTACTTCAGCCTCCTGGGTGCTAGGATTGCAGCCCTGCGCCATCTGGCCAAGAGGAGGTCTTGAAATAGCTGCTGGAAGTAGCAGATAAAGCCTGAGTCGGGGCCACGGAGAAGAAAAGATAAAAACTTAAAAACAATCTTTATGATACTAGTTGTTGGGCGTCTGGAGAATAAGGGGTGAGAATCGCGTGCAGTTGTAACAGTGGTAATGAGCACGGTTTTCACTGGTGCCTTGAGCGGCGGGAGAGAAGAGGTTTCCCAAGAAGAGAGGCTGGGATGCAGGACTGCCCTGCATTCGCATAGGAAACGTCTGTTTAGTGAAAGCTGAGGAGCTGACAGGAACCAGCCTCGAGGATCCTGCATCTGGTCGGGTAATTTAGTGCTCCTTTGATCCAGATGTCTTCTGACTCAAGGTTTTTCCTTCTAAGTAAATAAAAAATGGGACCCGTATGTCTAGAGTTGTTGAAAGGATAGAGACACAAATGAATGTATTTTAAGGTAAGTTGTGTAGGACATTAAGGATCTACCTTTTTATGACGACTTCAAACTACAAAGTACAGAAATAACAAGTAGTCAGATTTTATCAAAGAGTTCAACCATACTTATTAGCTGCTGAGCCCTGTTCTGTCTTTAGTACCCTCAACGATTGTAGAAGTGAGAACTATCCTTACCTCTATTTTATAGCTAAGGAAAGTAAAGCACAAAGAGTTAATTGACAAGATTAAGTTCACCTGCCTTGCAAGCAGAAGGTCCTGAGTTCAATCCTCAGTACCCCTAACCAAAAAAAAGACTTAGCTAGCAGATTACAGAATGCCTTTAACTTGAGCACTTTGACCTGGAGTCTTTGCTATATTATCCATGTTGCAACTGATTAAAACTAAATATTGGTTATAAATCAGATAAAGCCAAAGGGAAAAGTAGCATATTTAGGTAACAAGTGATAAATGTGAATCATGATAAAGTTATTTTACTGCTGTTTGTGGTTTTTTGCTGTACTGGGGAGCCCCACCCGAGGGGCCTCATTTTCCCCTACCTCGTTTTGCCCTTTTAAAGAAAGTCCACTAGATGGCGCCATGACAGTCATGTCTGTGCATATATGTGTAATGATGTGAAAATCCGTATGTGCTCTCAAAATGAGCTTATCATTTCTGGGTGATTTTTATAGGTAAACAGAATCTGGTGATTATGGGAAGGAAGACCTGGTTCTCCATCCCTGAGAAGAATCGACCTTTGAAGGACAGAATTAATGTAGTACTAAGTAGAGAACTCAAGTGAGTACCTTAAAGTCAACTGACCACAAAAAAAATTGTGTCCTATTTCAAGAAGTTCAGAACAGCAATATAGTGTAAAAGTAGCATTGACAAAGCTGGTTAATATCACAAAGGCAATCACAGAAAAATTAATAAGCTGTTTCAGTAAGTGGTTCTGCATAAGTGGTTGATTCTGTCACTTTGAATGTTACATTAAGCATTAAATCTCATTATGGTAACAGATTTTTGAAGAGTCGATAGGATTAAAGTTACACAGTGTGATCAGTAGCTTTTCCTGTTAGCCATAACATCCAAATAACACCTTGTACTTGTGTGCTTTACTGGGAGTCTGAAGGTAAAGTCTTTCAGGGTATTGAAATGGTTCTGGAATCCTCAGGGTAAGGAAGTGTCTAAAACTGACTTCTAAGAATTTTCTTGTTCTCCAAGCACTGGAATCTGGTTCCTGATGCCCAGAAAAGCCCTGGAGACTGGGGGATGGTGAGAGTACTCAGATTGCCCATGAAGTCATCTCTAGTGCTTTCACTTTGCCCATGGCTTTAAAATCCTTTATTCTGTATATGGCTTGGTTTCTACTTGGTTTTGTTCTTGTTGCCATGGACGTCAGCCGTAACCTACTAAAATAACTTCTAATTTCTGGGTGGTTTGGTTTTTTGTTGTTGTTTTGTTTTTGATTTTGACAGTCTCACTCTGCAATTCAGGCTGGCCTTGAACTCATGGCAATCGTCCTGTCTCTGCCTCCCGAGTGCTGGGATTACAGTGTTTGGGTTTTATTTGATGGGGGGGCCAAGAATTAAGAGACGTTGGGTGTCATCATGGGGAGCACACTTCCTTATATGTACTGATGAAGTCGTCACGAAAATAATGCAGCATCCTTGGGTACTTCCTGAGCACAGTCATAACCTTCCTAACCCTGTGTACGTGTCAGGATCCAACCAGAGAATCCGGTTTCCAGGAGTGGAATCACAGTGGGGTCTGGTCCTGTGAGTGCAGAAATCTGCACAGGCAGTCAGGAAGGGCAGGCAGGAGCTCTCCACCAGGGCTGGAGCTAGAGTGTGAGTTCCTTTCCCACCCCTGCTCTTTCAGCTGATGACTCAGACCCACCCTGCCAACGTCAGCTGGCTTTGCCGTCCTCAAGTCCATGGGTACCATGACAGCCACACATGCTGTGGTGTCTGAGTAACCACGAACCAGTGCCTGCCACCTTAGCCCACCTGGGGAGGAAAACCGGCCCCCAGGACTGAAGGATGGGGCTCGCACTGCCCCCCCACATCCCACAAGCCCCTCCCACAGCCCTCCGGAACTCAGGCAGCCGCTGTTTGCCTCAGGTCCTGCACTGATTGGAGCCCTGCCATTTGTGTCCCTGTGCTGCTCTCCGCCCGGTTGCTAGGATATTCTGATTATCTCTACTTGGTAGAATCCAGATTCACAGCATGGATTGCCATTCCCAGAACCGCTTTTCAATAACATCGCCTTGAGAGCTACTGCAGACGTTTCCGGCTCACTCGGGCTGGAGCAGCCTGAAGTAACCTCTCAGGGATTGTTGAGCCCACATCCCCGAAATGATGAGTCTCGTGCCCCGCTGCGGCAGACATAATTGGGTTTGCTTGCTTCTTAGGTGTTTATATGTAGCACTTGTTGGTGTCTTTTCCTTTTTTTGTTTAGAGGCTGAGGAAATGTCTTTTTTAGTGAGCGTGCAGAGAAATGGCAGAGCCCATTAAGGTTCGCGTTTGGTCGGTTCTCCCGTTCCTCTACTCGCTGGTCAGCTGCACACACGTATTGGGTGCCTGCCTTGTGCCAGACAGGGCTGGGCGGGGATTTGCCCTCAGAGGGCCTCAGTTTAATGCCCACAGAAGAAGAGACCGAGTCCTCATCAAAGCCCGGGTTCTCTGCCAAACTCTAGTTCTTCGCCGGAGCGCTTCCCTTCACAGCTGTGGGAGAGGCGCTATGAGGTTCGACTACAGAAGGAGCAGGGCGCGGGGCTGCTGACCTGGACGGGTTTCTTGGTGTGAGGGGGTGGCGCTGAATTGTCTGCCTTGCAAGGGTGCATTGTGTGGCCAGGGACTGGCACCTCAGCAGAGCTGTTTTCAATGCCTCAGGCGCCAGCATCTCAGCTGTGTGGCCGCAGTGTCCTGCCCTGGACCCATGTGTGGGGACCAGGGCTACCGTGGCCGTTGCTGTGCTGTGCGGCTCCGCAGTGTCTCAGTGCTCACCACCGAGTCCCCTCCTCACACAGCCTCTGTCATCCACTTCCCTGCACACTCAGCATGGCAGGCGCTGTTGGCCCCGGTACCTGTGACTTGGGGGCCCGAGCAGGGACAAGCGAGCCTCGCCGCCCCATGACTTCTTCCCTGCTTCTTCCCAAGTGCCCTACAGATCCAGGTGTCCAGCCCTGGCCCAACCACACTACTTCATTACACTGATCCCAAGGACCAGGCTCAGCGTCTCGTGTCATCTTACTGCTTCCTTCTTCCTTCCCTACGTCTTGAGGCCGACGTCCCATCCTGTCTCCCCGCACTTTATTCCAGATTCTCTTTGTTCTGACCTGGGACCTCCCTCTTTAGTCCGACCCTTTACTATTTGAAGCCCCTGGACCGATGGTTTTGTGGCCCTCGGCCTTCTTGGGCTTTCCATGCCGAGTAGCTTTACTGTCGCTCTGGACCGGGCCGTCACGTCCGCTCGCCTCCGCTTTGTACTGGGCTTTCTACCCTCCAACACCCAGCTGAGGAGTCGGGTGCCTCGTCTCCCTCTCCAGCTGACGCCGCTCTCCGTTGTCGGAGACTCACTGGACCAGTTTGAGAAAACTGTAGAAAGGAAAGATTGCGGTGAAGGGGTCACAGGGAGCAGCTAGCTCAGCCTTCTGCCTGCTTCCTTAGCCACCGGGGCCCAGGGTCCGTGTGCGACGCTTCTAAACTGCTGACCAGGAAGGACACTGCCAGAAGTTCTCCTCCATGCCCTTGCTACCCCTTAAATCTGAAACAGACCTCCCGTGTCTCTTTGGTTCCGTCTTTCCAGACTCCCTCACAGGCTGGGAAAGCGGCCTTCATCCACCCTCAAGCCATGTTCACGCCGCTGTGCCCAGAGTTCCCAAGCCTTTGCCCCTTCTTAGAGCCATTCGTACACCAGCCATTTCCACCACTGGGAAACTGTGCTGCTCTTCTCCCGCAGCCCGGAAGGGCCCCACTTCCAGCTCTTCCCCACCTCAGCGCCTCGGTTGCGTTTTTCACCTCCCTCCCTCGTCTTCTTTCCCTCCCCAGTCCTGATCTCGGCTACCTCACTGCCAAACCACGTGACTGCTTCCACCCTGCCTCGCTTGGTTGATCGGCCGGACCAGGAGTGGCGGGCCGTGGAGGTCACTGAACGCGCCACAGGTTTCGCCATCACTGGGCTAGACCATCTTCCTAACTCCAAATCTCTCTCTCCTACATTCGGTTCCTTCCCCCCCGAACAGCCCAGTCTCACGCAGTTGCTGTGACCACCCTGGCACCTTGGGCAGTAGCTCAGTTCATTTAACTTTACCCTGGCCTCCATTTCCTCTTCTTGCCTGAGTCAAAGTATATTCTTTGCTTCATTCTAAGTCCTTTACAGATGTCAGTGAAACCAGTAACATTTCAGAAGGAGAGGGAGCAACCAGGAGATGAGCAGCCCCATTACCTCCTGATGAATCATTGTCAGAACTGCTAGGTCAGCGGCAGTTCTAGAACCTCTTTGACACACAGGCTAAGAACTTGACACTGAATTGGAATTTCCCTTCTGTATCTAATTACTCTTAACTCTTTATCTAAAGGGGAAGTGCAACCCTCCTCTCTACTGGGGGAGAACTTAGTCCTGGAAGTTGAGAGGCATAATTATCTAATTTTTTTCCCCTTTGTAGCTTTTTTTTTTTTTTTTTTT